TTTTAAAAATCCGCGGATTTTTTAGCGGATTTTTAGCGGATTTTTGAAGAGAAAATCTGTTGGATTTTCCGGATTTGTTTGGATTTTTTCCGGATTTTTTGACGAAGTGTACGGGATTTTTGGAGTGAAATGCCCCTCGATATTAGCGATTGTTTTTTAGTCGCGCCATGTCTCAGATTTGGCGCATCTTTAAAATTACTACGACAAAATTACTACCATTCGATTCAGAGAAACAAAATCTCTTTATTTCTAATGATAGTTTTAGTCACTATAGGAGCAAACGGGTATAGTTTTTTTTGGGACACCCGGTATACGCACTGATATTTAAAACACCATGCATGAGTCCGTGCATTTAAATATGATATGTTTTTTATGAGTTTGCTTCGTTTTTAAGAAACACGGTTTATATACATACGAATTGATATTTAAAACACACAAAACTCTGCCCCACTAAATATGACACATATACTTCATGAGTTTAAACGCACCATGATCAGTATTTAAAACACACTCAGTTGGTGCAAATATATGCATAATATACTTCATCAGTGAATGAAAATGCACAATGCAAAATGTAACTATATTAAAATTTAAGTCCGACATTACATAGTAACCAGTTTATCAAAGAAGACAAAAACATATACAAGACAACCTCACATGTGGAATCTGTTTACTTACGCACAGCCTTGTGATGCAGCAGGCACGGATTTTTTTTCGTGGGGGGGGGGGGTGCCCCCAGAAATACTTTGCAACCCTCCCCCCCAGAGGCATTTGGCACCGCCCCTAAAACGTTTTTGCACCCCTCAAATTATACATATTTTGATTTGATATTTTCCTATTTGGTTATTCTTATTACTAAATTTATAAAATTACTAATATTATGGTCTCAGATGCCGCCATGCAAGCCTAGAAAAAAAGTTTTGTTAAACATTTCCCTTGACCTTTCTGGACGTTGCCACCAGGCCCCGGTCAAAGCAAGCAGCAGCACCCCCCCCATATTTATCCCCCCGCCCGATGTGATGCAGTACAAGTACAAATACAAATGACAAAGCATTGTTAATTAAGGCATTAAATCCTAAAACATAATTAAACGATACGGCACATTTAAGATTTTAATATCGTATTATGCCGCTTTTATACTGCTTGGCGCGCATTCGCTGCGTATTAATTTATATACCTATGTTATATACACAGATTTATTTCTAATAAATCAACACTATATGATAAATACAATTCACAAAGTGCAGACACCTTTTTATAAAATAAACCTTTAAAAGCATGTCATTGTCATTGCAGACCAGAGGCAAAAAGCACAGCCCCATGCCAAGTTTAAGCAATCGTGAGATTATCAATTGATACATGGAAAGAATATGGAAATTATGTTAAAAGCACCCCGTATAATGCTCGAACCACTGCGTACAGTATAATGGCAAACACACCGTGTGTATAATGGCGAAAGCACCACGTATAATGCTCGAACCACTGCGTATAATAGCAAAAGCACCGCGTATAACGCCCGAACCACTGCGTATCGACAAAATGCCGTTTGATCACTTACGCCAGCTATGGCTTTCCACTAAAGAAAACCAAAGATCAGGAAAGATGATTACATTCCTTGTTTGCCTTATGCTTGTTTATTAGGCAAGAATAGCCTGCCGGCCCGGAAGCAGTACATTGTTGTAGGCTGAAGTACGCCGAGACGATCGAGATTTCATCTGCATATATATAATACATATACATAAAGACTAGGTCTGCTGCCTTGCTCGCTTGCTTCAGGCTCGCTCGCTGCGGAAGCAATTACTGAATGTATTCGAACAACCTTAGTTCGTATATAAAATCAGACAGGAAAACTTCTATTAATGCCTTGATGCGTTTAATTACCTCTTTCACAAAAATACGCCCTGATATACATATAACTTAAATTGTTTTGCCTTTTTATTAAAAATACATGCATATGCGGATATATACAGTACATTGCTATAAAGACCCTGTTAGTCTATATAAGGACAACAGTAAGAAAAAAAAAATTTTATTGTATTACTGGCCATGGATATTTGTTACGTTAAATTGTCCTGTATTTATCTGTTTACAAACATACTCTTCAGGCCACTTTTCCGCTTAGCCTGCATGGCAGGCGGTCTTTCCCAGGTTTCCCCCAAAAATTGCCTGGTGCATAGGAAGAAAAATTTCCGTTTCGTATAGATGAATTGTTTGGAAGTGTTATAGCCCTGTCAGGCTGTCACGAATGTCGCCAATCAGAATGACTATGTTTATTGGATACGATACAAACATATTGAGCTATAAAGTATAAATTCTACTCTGTAACTGTAAGTGGGCAACGCTATAGACCCTCAAATTTTGTTATTTTATCTAACATGGAACTCCTAGAAACATGTCTATCCTCATCAGGAATGCCAACGCACACTCATGACTGATAAATCCAATACGATAATCGATCTAACAGGAAGGTTTAGGCGCGCACTTGCCGCTGATTGGCGAATGACATGCACCTCTTTTACAAGTTTCTATGCATTCGTAAAATTCGTCAATACTATACATACAACAACATGCAGTATTTTTAAGCTATACTGCAGTATTTTTAAGGAACAAAAATTCTGTGTATATTTACAGATGCGTTTGTTTGCATACTTTGCAAACTGCAGGCGACATAACACATCTTATTATACATCACAAACTTTTCATGCGTCTTGTTTGTATTACGTCAGTTGTATTACAGTTGTAAACCCTGGCTATACGCTACTGACGTCATTCACTTCCTATCTAACATACTGTTACCATCAACTGACAGCAAATTGCTTAACTATCATATACCAGTCAAATGCTTTTCACCGGCTGCGAAACGTTCTCCTGCAGTCATAAGCCGTGAGCTAGTGCCCTCAAACGTTTAGTTTCACTGTATACCTCGCTAAGCTAAAAATACTTATATATTTTTAAGATTTAAACACGCTGAATCCAATTCTAAAAAGTTCTTGTCGATAAACCCTGCAGTTTTTTTGTAAATTGCGATAAAAATGTTAAAATTTACGACTTTCGCAATAACATTTTTACTATATGCCACACCTCAAAATGCGTACTTTCGGAAGCATTCACTCGCGCGCCATAGGCATAGTGAAAATTATACAGGATAGGTCACTTCCGCCTAATCTTGAGATATGTGAATTCAGATTTGATGTAATTGCGACCGAACGTATTTTCTGGCTTTGTAGATACCTAGCAACACCAGCCACCAGGCATTCTTTCAAGATTATGAACTTTTAAAGTAGACAATTTCATCTTTTAATATGGCGTGTAATGAAGAACAAATTAAAGAAACTTCAAGTTTATAGTAACAAAAATATTTTTAGATGGTAAACCAAAAACTATCAAATACCAATAAACAATATTTAAAGCACACTAGTTTTCTTTTTGTGTAAAACTACACAATCACCACAATCCACTGCCTCGTCATTGTCATCCATATCTCATTGTTCTCAGAATTGCTGCGTTGGTTCAGTGCATTTCAAATTTTTGCTTTAAAACAAGAGCATCTTTTTGTTTGAGAAGCCTTTTTCCATTCGCAGCCAACAAATTTTATAAAGATGCTGTCGTCTGTCTGGTACAGGGGTGGAAAAAGTATAAAAAACCAATAGAAAGGATGTTACCTGTTCTGTATCAGTGAAAATTGATGCATTTCTTAGCTCATTCCCATAGGAATGAGCTAAGAAATGCATCAATTTTCACTGATAGTGTGATAGTATATAAATGTATAGATTAGAGAGTTACTATATATGAGGTGTGATATCCGCCAAAATTTGTATATTCAATTATGCCATTGGAAATTGCATTTATGAAGTTCAGTTGTGCTATAATTATGATATTCGATATTATGATATTCGAATTTCATTCGGCGTGAAACAGTCATTATTGAAATTTCATTCGGCGTGAAACAGTCATTACTGAAATAGTCATTCGGCATGGCACTCAGAAACCAAAATTTGACTTCCGGTGTAGCGGGAAAAGCACACGGGGAATTATAATTTCAACATGACTGAAGGCGAAGGCAATTTAAGTCAACAGTGTGCTGTTTCTTTGTTGCAAGAAGCAACAAGAATGATCAGAGAATATCCTGGATCATCAAATGATGTTTCTTCAGCACAAGTTGCGAATCCAAATGTAATTTCTCAAAGCAAATCGCATGCTACTACATCACCTGGCGACACTGCCGTCAATACATCAAATTCAGAAAGAGTGTTGGGGAATTTTAGAAATCTTTTTGGGCTGTATGGGCATACTGGTCGCTGATGTCTAAGTTCCTCAACACAGTTGTTTCCAAATGAATACGTTTACTGGGACAACACTTATATTTCTGTCTTGTTGACTTAACTTGCCTTCGACTTCGGTCATGATGGAATTACAATTTCCCCCTAAACCGGAAGTCCAGTTTTGGTTTCTGAGTGCCATGCCAAACCGGAAGTCAAATTTTGGTTTCTGAGTGCCATGCCGAATGACTGTTTCACGACAAATGAAATTTCAATAATTTATGACTGTTTCATGCCGAATGAATTCGAATAACATAATATCGAATATCATATAGTATAACTGCATGAACTCCTTAAATGCAATTTCCAAATGCATAGTTGAATAATATGAATTTTGGTGGATATCACACATCATAACTGTATGTTAATTAATGTAACAAATGTTGCCTGGCAAATGCATTTTTAGCCAGTCTGGGGCACTTGGTTTTCAAAAATATTTTGGGGAGCATTGTCTCCTTTAAGCTGCTCTTTGTGTCGAGGATTCTCCCCATGAAGAGTTGCTCATTTGAGGACAACATTCCATTCCTTTTGTCTCATGTATCAATATCACAAAAGTTCTCTGCTTTCCATATTTTCACATTGGCATAATTCTATGCATTGTAAATCTGCTTTCCATAGCCGGATTTTGAGGTGGGCACCTCCCCTGAAATAGTTTTGCACCTCCCCTGAGAATTTTTGCACCTCTCCTAAAACGTCATATGCACCTCCCCTTGAAGTTTCAATGATAGATGAAACTAAAAATTTGACATTTTTTGGTTGTTCAGGGTCTACACTTGGTAAGAAAGTTTTCCTTTAAAATTGAAACAGTGATAACCATTCATCTCTATCAAGTACCCTTTCAATAATCTATCAAGTACACCAGATTGGCTAAAAATGAATATCCCATGCAACATTTGTTATGTCACTCTATAATCTATACATTTATGCACTATCACACTATGAATGAAGATGGATGCACTTATAGTCGCATTTTTGAGCTCTTATTCCTACAAATTTCCCTCTGCATTTCTCCTTTAGTCTAAATTTTGGTCCCGTGGTCTGACACTTTTTCCACCCCCTGTACATGGGAGACCCAAAGACCTGCTCCATCTGGAGCTGACAGCATCTTTATAGAATGGTGTGCTCGAGTGAGCAGCTGCTCATGAGGAGAAATCTCAACACAAAGAGCAGCTATGAAGGAGACAATGCCCAGAATATTTTGAAAAGATCAAGTGCCCCAGATTGGCTAAAAATTAATATCCCATGCAACATTTCTTATGTCATATGTTATATGTTATAGTTATGTTATAGTTGCATTTTTGAGCTTACTCCTACAGAACAGGTAACATTCTTTCTATTGGTTACAATTTCCCCTCTGAAATTCTTCTTTTGTCTAAATTTTTGGTCCTGAGGTCTGATACTTTTTCCAACGCCTGTACATGGCCCACATGGGGGACTCAGGGGCCCTGCTCCAGAGCACACAGCGTCTTTATAAAATTTGTTAAGTTGTGAAATTGTGAATGCAAAAAGACTTGTCAAACAAAAACATGCTCATGTTTTAAAGCAAATCTGAAATGCACTGAACCAATGCAGCAATTCTGAGAACAATGAGATGAGGAGGCAGTGGATTGTGTAGTTTTACACGAAAAGAAAACTAATGTGCTATTAATTACTCTATAGTATATGGTATTAATTATAGCATTGTTTAAATATATATTTTATACTCACTATTAAGTATTTGATAGTTTTTGGTTTACCATCCAAATATCTTTGAAATACCATTACATCCAAGTATCTTTCACTACAGTATGTCCATTGTTCTGTCTTGAAAATTGAAGTTTGTTTCGTCCTTTATTACACGCCGTAAAGGTGAAATATTGTATACATAAGTTCATAATCTTGAAAGAATGCCTGGAGTTGCTAAATATCTTTGTACAAAGCCAGAAAGAAAATATGCTTTTAATAGCCCAATAATATATAAAACTTAAAAATCGTGTTTGCTCATTGTTTACATCAAATCTGAATTCACATATCTCAAGAGGAGGCGGAAGTGACCTATCCTGTATAATTTTCACTATGGCGAGCTAGCGACTGTTTCCGAGAGTATACATATTGAGATATGGCATATAGTAAAAATGCTATTGACGAACAGCCATGCTGTCGACCGGCCGAGCACAAACAAACATTCTAAATTTTAAAACAATCTATTTTTCTGGATTTCTGGTGTGCGTATCCCTCTTAATTTGTTGCGAATGGGAAGTCTATAACTGTAACGCCATACCACTATATTTCATTCTACAAAATTGTAATCAAGTAAATGTCGCAAAACGAAGACTCAAAATAGTATGACAGAACTACAAACTGTGTGAGTGTCCGTATGCATATACATATATTGATAAAAGCTTTAAAAACATTACCTCATGATATATATATTATATAAATTTTAATATTATTAGTTGACCGCTTTAGGCTATATAAGTATATTATATAGCTACATATGTATAAGAAGCTTTAAAAGCAGTATCTCATGATATATATTATATAAATTTTAATATTAATCCTTTTAGGCTATGTATTGCATTATTATATATAGCTTTTAATACGCATCAAAATATCGTTTTTAGCAACAATTTGAACATAATTTATAAGGGATGGTAATCTTAATTTCACGATCCGTAACCCTATCTTACCAGTGGTACCACTGGTACCATTCGACATTATTTTCAACGGTACCCAACTGCCATGACCCTTGGTTCACGGATGGTACACTTACTTTCACGATCCGTAATCATATCTTACCAGTGGTACCACTGGTACCATTCGACATTATTTTCAAGGGTATCCCAACTGCCATGGCCCTTGGTTCACGGATGGTAAACTTACTTTCACGATCCCTAATCATATCTTACCAATGGTACCACTGGTACCATTCGACATGATTTTCAAGGGTACCCCAACTGCCATGGTCCTTGGTTTACGGATGGTAAACTTACTTTCACGATCCGTAACCCTATCTTACCACTGGTACCACTCGACATCATTTTGAAGGGTACCCCAACTGCCATGGCCCTTGGTTTACGGATGGTAAACCTACTTTCACCATCCGTAACCTTATCTTACCACTGGTACCACTGGTACCACTCGACATGATTTTGAAGGGTACCCCAACTGCCATGGCCCTTGCTTTACGGATGGTAAACTTACTTTCACGATCCGTAACCATATCTTACCACTGGTACCACTGGTACCACTCGACATGATTTAGAAGGGTACCCCAACTGCCATGGCCCTTGGTTTACGGATGGTAAACTTACTTTCACGATCCGTAACCCTATCTTACCACTGGTACCACTCGACATGATTTTCAAGGGTACCCCAACTGCCATGGCCCTTGGTTTACGGATGGTAAACCTACTTTCACGATCCGTAACCATATCTTACCACTGGTACCACTGGTACCACTCGACATCATTTTGAAGGGTACCCCAACTGCCATGGCCCTTGGTTTACGGATGGTAAACCTACTTTCACCATCCGTAACCATATCTTACCACTGGTACCACTCGACATGATTTTGAAGGGTACCCCAACTGCCATGGCCCTTGGTTTACGGATGGTAAACGTACTTGCACGATCCGTAACCATATCTTACCACTGGTACCACTGGTACCACTCGACATGATTTGGAAGGGTACCCCAACTGCCATGGCCCTTGGTTTACCGATGGTAAACTTACTTTCACCATCCGCAACCCTATCTTACCAACCGTACCACTGGTACGGATGCACTGTACAATAGACACAAATCGACAACAATACCGATGGTAGATGGTAGATTTATGAAATTTACCATTCGTATCGTATCGTATTGTGGTATTGGACCATGTTCGTCGTCGGTAGCGAAAACGATGACAACGTGTCAAGAACTATTTCAGTCGAAGTTGGTACCATAAGCGCAGAAGAAGACATTAAGACGTTGCTCACTCCTACCAAAATGTGTACATGTACGGACGAAATGTTAAAGAAGAATAAATTCATAAAGTCCCTTGCCGACTCGACGAAGATAATCGAGGGAAGAGTCGAAGTCAAGATGCCATGGAAGGAAGGTGGACCACCGCGCCAAAGTAACTACAGCATCACATATCAAAGAATGCTTTCATCCGAAAAAACCTTTAGAAATAAAAAGTGCTTCTACGAAATCGAAACAGAAGTACAGAAGTTGGTAGAACAAGCCTTCGTTATTGAAGTACCGACAGATCAAGTCGACCACAACAAACCTGAATGGTACCTCCCGATGCAGGCAGTATTTACCCCGGAACGTTTGACTAAAATACGTTTAGTTTTCGATGCTTCCGCAAAAGGTCCAGACAACAAATCCCTAAATGATTATCTAGAAAAGGGTCCAAATTACATTAATAATATTCAAGATGTCTTGATGGCGTGGAGATAGGACCATGTAGGATACTGCGGCGACTTACGAAAGATGTTTAACCAAATTATGATACATCCCGAAGACCAGATATACCACCGATTCTTGTTCCGAAAAAAATCAAGACGAAGATCCTAAGATTTTTCAATGGGTATGGTTGAATTTTGGAGACAAAGCCATACCAGACATTGCTACAGGATCGATTAATGTATTGGCTAAAGCCCACCAAGAAGTTTTACCCGAAGCCTCCCAACAACTGCAAGACAACGTTTATGGCGATGATATCGGTGGCTCAGCCCCAACTCCCGAAAAAAACAAGAAAATTACTGCGGATATCGACATCATTCTAAGCACAGGGAATTTCGAGGTCAAATCGTGGAATTCTAATCACAAAGAAGTCGACAAGTCAAACGAAAAGTGCACTACCTTCCTCGGGCATAAGTGGAATAAAGAAATTGATGTATTTACATTCAAGAAAGAGTTCGATATCAGACCAGAAGGAATATTCACTAAACGAAGATGTCTATCCCTTGTATCACAACTTTGGGATCCCCTCAGGCTGGTCTTGCCCGTAATGATAAAGTTTAGAGTGGATCTCCAAGATTTGTGGGCATCAGGCTTTTCGTGGGATGAAGACCTACCAGATGCCATCCAAAGTTAAATGGATTGACAATTTCCAAGTATTAAACAAAGTCCCTAATTTACAATTTCATCGAAAAATCAAGCCAGATAACGCAGTCGATAAGCCCGAAATACACGGATTCTGCGACGCAGGAGAGCTACAATCCTGGCAAAAATTATGTGGACACCTAACTTTTCTAACGCTAATATTAACATTGAGACGTTCTTTTATGAAACTTGTCGCCCCCTGCCCCCTATTCAATGTTGTTTCTCGCATTTAAATTTTAAAGTTTCATTTACCAACATTGAATTGGGGGTAGGAGGGGGGAGAAATTTTCTGGGGATTAATTCTGTAGAAATACTTCTATTTTTGTTTGACGCACACGGTGTCCACAATAATTTTTGCCAGGATTGTAGCATGCTTTGCCTTTGGTGGCATGTTTCTAATCTCAACGCATCATCACAGTAAGACACCACCCTTGCCCAAGGTTGTATTGATTGAGAGAAGACTGAATTTCGACTGAGTCTCAGTATATCCATATGCTATATCCATGTTTTTAACTAATATAAATTAAATGTTTGTAATTTTATGATAAATAAGATTTTCGCTCTAAATACGTGAAATTCAAAATAATATGCATGTTACCCATATGTAACATATATATTCTGTCACCAAAAACGGTGCCAGAATAACACTTTTGGAGTCGCTTCAACTCCTTCAAATTTACAGTGTGAAACTTGCTTAGTAAGCACTTATAAATCCAAAGCAAATACTTGTAATAATCACAGGAAAAAATTGAAATTTCCATTAATGGATTTTGAATGGTTTTTAAAGATTTACCATGATCATATACGTTGTCAGTTTTGCTGAATAAATATTTCGAGGTTCTATTATAATTTTGAATTTACAAATTTATTGAAGCCTATATTACTGGTTATCACAGTTACTCTGACTGTATAATATATAGCTGAAGATATGTCCCAGTTAAAATTTCAAGGCAAGTAACTGATCCACACAATATTACCCAAGCAAATCATGCGCACAAACAACATTCTGGCTGTTTTATGCGAACAATTCACTTCAACGTTACCAGCAACTGAAGCCAGGTGGACACAATACGATTTTGGTCGGCCGGTTTTAATCAGACAAGACCAAATTGTCTATCAGCCGATTTGTTCCGTGTATTCCGATGTTTATCGGTTATCTCAACCAACTACAATTCAGGCTGTGACAACATAGTTTGACAATTTTCGCTGAATTTCGTATAATTATAATTTTCGCTTTGCCCATTCATTATCAGATATCTGATGTAAAACAGACTTAATTTACCTAACTGTAACGAGACATATTAACCGATTAGGCGAGGATTTCCTGCCTTATCATTTGACCATTTTAATTTTTAACCATGTTGAAAAAACGAGGAAAAATTGTAATCGTTATAATTTAAGTTATTGTCACCTTTTAATAGATGTTTATGAAGCTGATTTTATTAATAACGTATCAGTCTGTCAGGTAAACGTTTGCGTTTAGCGAGTTCGGATCCCAATATTCACATTACATTACTATGTATAGCTATATATTTAGTAATTGCTAGTCTAATTATATTGGCTTCGGCCATGCAGTTACAAGAAATGCGCAGTTTCAGCTCGATTTAGGAAACAAGACTGAGTAGGCTCGTTTTGGTGCTTTTGCGCATTTCAAAGCTTGCCTTGGCTTAAGGTTTTGTTTTCAATCTTAAACACTAACACTTTGCCTTGAATAACAGTATTGGTTGAAGAATTGTTGATTAGCATAATAATGCATGCATAAAAGATAAAATAATGCAATATTTTGGTAGCTAGTTTTCGAATCGGTCAATATATACTATACAATCACAAATTGTTCCTTATTTGTACATACTATATAGTTAAAATTAGCTTACTATTACTATATAGTACCTATACAATATATTACATATAAATGAATAACAATGTATAGATAAGAGGAGTCAGTTATACAGAATACTTACACATGCAGCTGATATTATGGGGGTTAATAAATTACTAAATAGATCCTATTCACATTTGTTGTAATCAGAAATAAATAAGTAAATATGTTACTTCTAAATCACTTACCTGTAGTTTGAAAGAATACAAATTACATTCTTGCAAGTTTTTATACTATATCAACAACACACTGCAGGGCCTTTTTTAAGGATTTTCCCGTGGGGGGGCATTTTTTGAAAAGGGACCTTTCTGTGAGATAATATATTACAGGGAGATAGCAATGGCTGAAGGCCACGTGTGCGCCGAACATACCATGCACGCATGAATGAGGAGGGTGTACTCCCCCAGAAAATTTTTGAAATTTGAAGCACAGAAATGCCATTTCCTTCATTCTGAGCATCCAAATGCGCTCCAAAATGAAATAAAAGAAGGAAAAACCCCACAAAAAGTTAAAAAAAAATATTAACCATAATTTATCATTACTTATTAGAGGAGGATCCCAATGGTCACGTGTGTGGGGGTGTACTCCCCCAGAAAATTTTTGAAATTTGAAACACGGAAATGCCATTTCCTGCATTCTGAGCATCCAAATTTGCTCTAAAATTTATGCTAACTATACTTGTATTTGAAATAAAAGAAGGTAAAAATGCACAAAAAGTAAAAAAGAATATTAACCGTAATTTATCATTATACTTATTAGAGGGGGATACCAATGGCCGAAGGCCACGTGTGTGGGGGCATAATCTCCAGAAAATTTTTCAAATTTGAAACCTGGAAATGCTCTTTCCTGCCTTCTGAGCAACCAAAAAATAAAAAATTATTAACAATAATTTATCATTACTTAGTGGTAGAAAAACGTAACAATTTAGATCGATTTTGTTAAACAAGGACAAAGGATAAAGCCTAAAACTTACTTTCCGTTTATTTATTTGTTATTCTTCGCTGTTTTGTTGGTATAAATCAGGCATTAAAATACGGAATTTTTACAAGGACACACTTTGCCTTCACAGGCGTATTTTTGGCATAAATGCGCAAACTCACGAGAACGAGTGGCGAGGCGACAAGTTTAGCGTCGAAGACGCGAGCTTCTAAGGGTCTCTGAAATGGCATTTCCAGAGCTCTGAGAACAGAATTTGCAAAATCTTTGGCCATTTTGCGTGGATTACATTTATATATTTTCAGTTTAAAATATTTTCAAGTACACACTTTTCAATTTACAAGGGCACATTCGCCTTTTGCAAGGACACAAAGTGTGTACAAGGACACGCTATTTTAATGCCTGGTATAAATTTAGGAAAAAGGGACTTTTCCTGGGGGGGGCAAAATGTGATTTCGTGGGGGGCACAAGGGGGGACTGGGGGGCATTTGCCCCCCCCCCCCAGCTTGTATGTTAAAAAAGGCCCTGGCGGGATGAACTTTTCCCTTTTGAGCATGCGTAAATGCTTTTATTGCAATGAAAATATGACGTCAAGCGCATTTAAATGGCTTCATCCCGGCAATGTATTTTGTCCGTTTAAACACTATAGGGGAGTTTCCCGTCTAAGCAGGTTGAAAACGTCCCGTCCCGTCTCGGCGGGATCATATAAACAGGACCTGAAAATAGCTCAATTCTGGGGAGATTTCATTTCATGACAACATCATTATTCCTATTAAACTGGTAAGTGGTATTTAAAGGCATATCCTTTATTAATCATTTAGAGGTGCAGTTGGTGAATTAACCCAGATATTATATATTTCTATCCCCTCACTTGGAAATAGGTAAGCGTTTAGGATGTTACGTCAGAGTTTGCAACCATAAGAGGGTAAATTCCCCCACCCAAATAATATAACCCTGAAATTTGGAGAGTCCAACCCAAGTCCTAAAACCTAGAATACCTCTGAACTACACGTAGACACTTAACTGATCTTGACATATAGTACATCCAAAATATTTCCGATTACTGTCGTTGCAATGGAAGTGTTGATAAAATATCGCATCAATTCATTACTTAGAACTGATCAATTCATTCGTTCAAAAATTTATCAACTTCCTGTGAGTTTGAATCAACCAATGGCTTCACGTTTTAGTGACTGATTGGCCAATCGGGAACAAGCATGCCAGTAAACAGGCAGTTGATCAATTTTCTATAAAATGAATGATCAACTTGAGGAAAGGAATTGGTGCAATATTTTATCAACACTTCTATTGCATCGACAGTAAATTAGCCCAAAACATTAATATTTTTCTTGTTCGCCTTCACTCGGCTATACTAATCTATATAAAATCAACATGAAGAAAGTTTTGCAAGTTTTTGCTGACATCAGTAATAAACACAAACTTTGCCAGTTGATACACCAGGCGGAAATCTTAGTTTAAGATAAAGAGCAGAGCCCAGCAATTACCTTTAAAACCAAACATAATAAAAGTAAAGAATTATTAGCTAACGTTTCGTTGTTTACAATACAACATCTTCGTAGCAATCTAAATGAATTTACAGGGTGTGGTATATATATTTACAAAATAATGGTTAATATTACAAAAACGTTTACATAGTTTGAAAGAACAAACGAATAGAAAGAAAGAAAAACAACTGATCAGTAATTAGTTAATTGGTAAAGATTAATGTTAAATGCATAGTTAGTATTGTTATGGTTAATTAATATTACATAACTAAAATAACTCAAGAGGAGTAGATCTAATATTGGCATTAAGGACAGGGTTAAGTTGAGAAATTAATAGGCTTTCACGCGGATAAGAAAACCCCATGCAGAAGTACCTGATGATAGGATTTTCAAATCAGAAGCGGAGCCTGGGAGTTTGTGCATGTGTTTGTGAGCAAGTATACTATACAGACAAGGTCAAGACCTCTTTTAAGAATGTGTAACTGGAGGGGACATATTATCAAAACTCTTCACTAGAGTGGTAAATTTGTTCCTCGAGATTTGAACTGGCAGAGTTGATTTTATGTACCACATGATGAACTTTTTGATCACCTCGTGACCGATTCGAAACTTTCAACGGTGTTCGTATTTACTTCGTTAGCAATTTGCGATGTTCTAGTGGAATTGGTGCTTTAATGATTGAGAAAATTATTTTTAGAGCTTTTAATAGTAATACTTTTGAGTTTTGACTGTGTTTCAAGAAGTAAACGCAGAGTCGATACCATTCATGAACTGACACAAAATACGCGAATATTCAGGTTGTTTGGCTATTTGTAGACATCGTTTTTTCACTTTGATACATAATTTTTGGGTGACCACCTACTGCATGCAGGTAGCTCTTAGGGATCTTATTGGGGGGGGGGACAAAATTGCCGACTGGAAGGACCAGTAAGAGGGCTGGGGGGACATGTCCCCCAGTGCGGACATGTCCCCCCAGTTATATAAGTTAAAAGAGGCCCTCGACATAGTTGCATGAGATAAACCGTTCTTTTTTAGTGAAAGGCGACACTCCCATGTGCTCTGAGATACGTCTGTGAATGTGTCGGCGTGTTTGGCCAACATACAATGCGCTACATCATCGACACGTGAACGGATACACAACATGTGATCTCAGGGCAATGGGAATCCTGTCTTTAAATGGAGAGGAATTAAAAGGCGACAAGAGAGACGGAAAACAACACGGATGGAAATATGTGGATAAGCAGAAGCAAGAAATTTACTAAATTGTGAACGGATATGTAGACCATGATGTCCAATGAAAAGAAGGCAGAAGTAAACAAT